TGTGTGTGTGTGTGTGTGTGTGTGTGTGTGTGTGTGTGTGTGTGTGTGTCACTCCAAAGTGGCAGTGATGTGTCTTGGTCTGAGTGCAGTCTGAAGGAGTGACTGCAGGTGGGCTTCAGCAGAATGCTGGTCCTCAGACTTGCTGAGGCTGAGTGGAAAATCACACAGGAGCATCATGTTTACACCCTGACAGACTGCAGCCTCACACTGACCGCTTCAGAGGAAGAGCGACCGATTCTGTGCCTTTGTTTAAACAAAGTAAAGGTTTGCTTAAGAAAATAGAATCTAAAATCACTGCATTCATCCTTTAGCTAGTGTTGTAGTCAAGACCACCTAACCCGAGACTAAATCAAGACCAAGACCACAGTGTCTCGAGACCGAGACAAGACCAAGACTTTTAGGGTTTGGACCAAATCGAGACCAAGACCACAGTGTCTCGAGACCGAGACAAGACCAAGACTTTTAGGGTTTGGACCAAATCGAGACCAAGACCACAGTGTCTCAAGACCGAGACAAGACCAAGACTTTTAGGGTTTAGACCAAATCAAGACCAAGACCACCAGATAAAAAAATGTGTCCAATATGGGATAACTGTCCTAAAAGATGGAGTATTCTGTACATATGTACAGTGGGGGGTGGGGGGTATTTATTCTTTCATAGTTGAGGTCTAACTATGATGCAAGTCACAGGCCTTTCTCATCTTTTTAAGTGGGAGAACTTGAACAATTGGTGCCGACTAAATACTTTTTTCCCCCACTTTAGCTAACCTAATATGTAGAGCTAATATTGACAAAGTCTTTGTGTGAGGACAGAGGAAAGAGTTTTGCTACAGAGGCAGATTAACGTTAGTGACGATAAAAGTTTTACGTTGTCCCCACTGTCTCTGAAAGTGAAGCACTGCAGAATTTACAAGTTGCTGTACGATTTCTCCTGGCTGTTGTTGTTTTACAGTGATATTATTTATGAATAATGTAGCCAAATTTTTTTACCTAAAATTTTGAAGAAATCCTTTACCGCTCCCAGAGAACCATGGTTCACTTTCTGGGAGTGCTGTGTGCAAGTGATGGGGGGTGGGGATGGGTGACAGCCAGTAACAAAAATACATAAATAGCAACGAGTCAGCTTTGGATTTGAATCAGTAGCTACATTTTAAATCCAATGAAAGCAAATTTGTTAATAAATTAATTGGACAATAATCTGGCTGTTTAGTGATATTTCCACAGTTGTGGTCTTGACTGGTCTTGAAATAAAATTCCGAGTCCTCAATGTCCGAGACCGAGATGAGACTGAGTACAAATGCTGTTGAGTCCGAGACGAGACCAAGACCATCAAAAACTGGTCTTGAGACCGGTCTTAAGACCAAGACCGGTTTCAAGTAGTACAACACTACCTTTAGCTATACTTAATGTTTTTCTATAGAATCAATAAGAAGGAAAAGGAGAGTCTGAGTTCCTTTGTGGCACTTAAAAGTACACACATACACACATACACACCAGTATGAGTCACAACATGTAATGTGGGTTACATGGAGAGTTCTGTTGCTAAATAGACTCTGGATCATAAAGGGTCAGACATTAGCATGCTGCTCTTTTGTTTAGTATCACAGAGAAGATCCTCGATGTCCAGCAGGTCCGGTGGAAGAGGACAGTATGAGAAGACATTTTAAAACGTGCACATTAGTGCATTTTTATTATATACTGATTATGAACAGTCAAAGTGGTTAATAGTGTGTAAATGAACACATAAGTCTTCACCAGTAATGGGATGATGTTGTATTATGAAAAGATGTTTGTTTTKATTCTGTATTGTGAGGATCATGATGTCTACATGGGTAGAATTGTTGTTGTTTTTTTTTCAAGCTGAGGCTTGGTTTTAATAGCTTTAGGTTAGAATCAGATATTAATTTGTAAGAGTTTCATTGAGGAGCAGGGGAATCCATTGTATAGATGTCAGAACACTCAAAGTACATAAAAAAACAAAACAAATGTGTTATTACTGCACTACTGCTAAACACGTGGTGCATTCATGTGCGTGGGATTTTTCAGTGTTGTAGGCGAAATGAAACAAGAACAACAGGATAGTGATACGGATATTTTATTGTTTGTACTTTTGACACTCATAATAACAAAATAATTGGTTCAGTTCACAGAAGTTGACATGAGCAGTTTCTGGTTTTCAGATTTCACCTCGAGGTTGTCTGATGGACGCCTAAATGAAATGCAGCATTTCCYCTGGCTCTATTCAAGAAGCCTGTCGGGACATAAAAGTCATGACATGTAGCAAAATAATAAAAATCTTTACATTATCATGCGTTACTGTGTGTGGGGGAAACACTAAACCCGAAACGTTTACCCCCCTCTTCTGCACTGTACCCCGACCTTCTGGTGTGGTTGTTTTAAGAGGAGTGAAAGTGCTGAAGAGCTGAGTGTTAGTGGAACAGTGTGAGACAGAGGTGACTGAGAGAACAAAGACTGAAGGTTCAATTCCCAATGTCAGCTTGGAGTTAGTGCCTTGATATTGGAGGAAACTGACAGTGATATGCTTTCTAACCCTGCGATGCATTGTGATGTGATTAAAGTAGTGCAGTAATTTTCAACAGATGACTTGGACACTTAATGAACACCAAGTTGTGCGGTCATCTTGTTGAAGATGATCACCAACTTTTTTTGTGTTACAAGTCTGTTTTTGTCTATATTTGAGAATTATTCTTGTTATCTTTTATCGTGCTGGAACCTGAGTTCACCTATCCTTCTATCACGTTTCAATCATGAATTGCATTTTTACCACAAACGTGTTTCCTATGTATCTGTCTCACTTACTGTTTCTGTCATACATAATGTTAGCATTCATGCTAGGGTTGGGCGATAAATCAATTTAATTGATTAATTCGAATTTGCCATTTATAAAGATTTAATTTTGGGAAAATCTGGATTTTTTTCTCACCAGTGCACTGTTTGAGCTTTTGTAGTTCAGAGGTCACCCCACCTGTCCCTCATGATGCTTGGTACATGACATGACAATATGGCAGCAAGCAAAGAGAATCTGTCTTCCCAAAAAAGGCACTGTTTCTTCAGTTTTCTGGAACCGGTTGGGTTTCGCAACCTCGGATTTGGAGCAACAAACACCTCACTGCAAAATCTGTTTGAAGGCTCTTGCTACAAAAAGCAGGAGTACAACAAATTTGTTTCAACACCTGAAACAGAGGCACTCCGTTAAGTAGGAAACAAAATTGATTAAAATAGAAAATCAAATTTGGGATGAAAAAAATCTGAGGTTTTTTTCTTTCTGGGGCCATATCGCCCAGCCCTAATTCATGCTAACTGTACTTTACCTCTTTTCCTCCAGTTCATCTACCTCGTTTTCTTCAAGACCCTCAGTGTCTTCCTCCACAGCTCTAGAAATCTCTGACAACACTTCTCTGAAAAGCTTTGCCACTGTTGTCCCTGAAGTTTTCCAACAAAATGAAAGTTGTAGCTTTTTTGACACGAAGCTGCTCGCCTGTAGAACCTGTAGAAGCAACTCATCAAAAATAAAACCATATAGTGTAATGTGACTTATGGTTTAGTGGT